TAACTGCCCACTGCCACGTGGCAATGCAAGTTAGGCATGGACATATCTTCTAGCGCTCAAGAGAAGCGAGGAACCTGGATTTTTTATGTAACATTTTTACCTTTTAAGATGTTAAAAAAAATATACAAACTTTTAAATAACACTGTGGCAGGCCAAACAAAGCATCTACAGGATGGGTTTGGCCCTGGGCTGCATGCAGTTTGCAGCCTCTGAGGCTAATTATGTGATTCGGGCCTTTGTCCTTTCTGAGGTCTTGTCCTAGTCCCCGAATTGGGCACGGTAACTCCTCCGTGGGACGAGACAGCTCAGGGCTTGTAAAGTGCACAAAGTAGGTGGCGACCAACATTATTAGTCTTATCTCCCCCCTTCCCCCTTCCCCGGGGCCTGCCTTGGCATTGTCACAGGCAAACAAACCTGGAGAGAGCTGAGCCACAAGGCTGAAAAGAGGAGCAGCAGGAGGGCTGGGGGGCCTGGGGCTCAGGGTGAGGATAGGCTTCCGCAGCTTAGTCAGGGCCAAAGTGGGGAGTCAGGGAGTAGGGGGAGGGCACGGCCAGGGCTAAACTCTAAGAAATACTAACTTCCTGGGAAGTCCAGTGGGGGTGGAGACTGGGGAAAACAGAAAGCAAGGGGCTGCCTGTGTACCCACCGAACGACATCCTCTAGGACGTTTGGGGACGTGCCTCCCAACAAGTGAGAGCAGCATTACCAAAGGCTCATTGTCACCATTTATAATCACTGCCACTTAAGGAGCACTTATTGTATCCCAAGCACTTTAAGAGATTGGTCTCACCTAGTCCTTACAACCACTCTATTAATCAGGCATTACTATTGTCTGTACTCTGGACAGGAAGAAGCTGAGAGGTCGGGTTGCTCGCCTTCAGTTGCAGCATCCGTCGAGCACGTTCTCTGCGCTGAGTGCCGCCCGTGCGTGATCTCACGCGGTCCTCACAGCAGCGTGTCTCCAGCGATGGCCCCCCACGAGCCACACCTCCTGGGGTCCGTGCAGCCCCTTCCCCTTGAATCCAGCCCCGTCCCCTGCTCTTGGACGCCAGAAAGCAGCAGAAGTGACTGTGTGACTCTGAGGCAGGGTCATAACATAAACTTGCAGCTTCCGCTTGGATCTCTTGGAACGCCGGCTCCCCAGGGGGACCCAGCCCCCGGGCTCAAGAAGCCGCTCCTGCTGACAGTCTAGCTGAGCTCCAGCCACCAGCCAGCACCGACTGCCAGCGCTGCGCGGGGCCACCTTGGATGCCCAGCTGGCCGTGCCCCAGATGCCTCCAGCCCCAGCCGACATCCGACTGAAGCGTCGTGGAAGACCCTAAGCCAGGACCACCCGGCTGAGTGCAGTCAACCCGCTGAACCACAGATATAATCAGAAATTTTTATTTTAAGCCATTAAATTTGGGAGGGATGTGTTATCCATCAACAGAGCACTGGAATACCACTCACAAAACCCGTGAGGTAGAAACTCAGGCTGCCCCATTTGACAGCTGAGGAGACGGAGGCACAGGGAGGGTAGTGACTTGGCCGAGGTCCACAGCTGGTGAGGGACAGAGTGAGGACATGCTCCCGAGCTGTCTGACTCCAGGGGCCGCCCCTCAACCAGCCCTCCACACCGCGTACAGCCCCCCAGCAGTGCGCGTCAGGGTGAGGTTTGGACTGGGCTGGCGGACTCCTAACCTCAGAACCTTCCCCTTCCTGTGCAGGTGTCCCCCCTGGAAGCTGGTGCCTGGCATCAGTGGAGCCCCTCAGAAGCCCTGATCCCCTGAACTCCCCAGCCTGTCCTTCCCCGCTGGGCTGGGAGACAGAGCTGGCACTGTCTTGCCTCGGAGCTGGTCTCCTCCCCAGGGCCTTGGGTGGGGGCAGGGGAGGCTCTGGGGCCAGAACGTTGACAAATGGCCTCACACACATTAAACAAGAGAGATGACACTGCACAGCCCTGGCGAGGCCCCAGATGCGAGGGATGAGAAATGGGGCTGATCCATCTTGCAGGCCTCAGTGACAAGGAGAAATGGATCAGCCCTAATAGGGGCTGCACATGGGACCCTGGCCTTAAATAAGTCAAATGGGAATTTGATGCCCCGAGGGAGGCCAGCCCTGAGGGGGCAGGGGAGCCTGCAGCTGACACCAGCAGGCTCTAGATGCCGAGTGCCAGGGTGGAGAGCCAGCTGCTTCTGGAGAGAGAGGTCTGTGGGAGGAGGGCATTCGGAATCCTGAGCAAGTGATCTAAACTTTCCGAGCCTCATTTTCCACGAACGTAACACGGCGTTATTGTACGTGTTAAGTTTCATGTCACTAATGGTAACAGTAGCAAAGCTGGTGTTTACCGAGCACGTCCATGTGTCACAGTGTGCCGAGCACATGCGACCTGTCTTACCATTACCCCATCATCTCACAGAGGCGGAATACAGAGGTTGAGAGCATGGGCCTGGAGCCAGACTGCCTGGGTCCAAATCCCAACTCTGCCACTCACAGGCCGGATTACCCTGGACAGGCTACTAAAGTTCTCTGTGCCTCAGTTTCCCCTCCACGAAGTGCCCACCTCATAGCACTGTTGTGATGATGTCACACCAGTGCTCAATACATGAGAGATTATCACACACGTGATCAACACTCAAAAATGTTCGTTCCCTTCCTTTGTCTCCTTCTCTAGCTCAGGGTGACGACCTTGACGCTCTCAGGCAGGAACCGCTGGGCTGGGGGAAGCGTTGGGTCAAAAGGGGTCAGAGCCTCAGCTGGTTTCCCTGGGATGGTTCTACTTAAAAGGATCAGGGATGGTGTTGATGGGTCAAGGGCCCTTTAAGGCACATGCCTCTAAGGCAGCAGAGCCAAGCAGAGGTGGGAAGGGGCGGAAATGGTGTGAAATGGGGTCTTTCACAGTCAGAGCCCTTCCTGCTCCATTCTGACCACCTTTCCCCCGGATGTTCTCTCACTGCCAAGTCTTTGCACCTGCGGTTCCCCCGGCCCAGCAGACTAAACTATTCCCTCCTCCACCAGTTTGCCTGACCCAATTCTTTCCTGAGGACCGCCCCCAGGGAAGCTGGGTCGTGACCCCTCCTCTGTGCTCCCACAGCTGTCTGTGAGCTCTCCACTCCACATCACAGCACAGTTCAGAGCATCTCTTGTTCAGTTGTCTCAACCTCGTTACAACGCTGTCTTGGCCTCTGCTGTGCCCCCGGCACCTAGAGACTGGCTGTCCCCGAGTAAGTGGCTCAGTAAATATGTGTTAAATGATGGAGTGGATAAACGGTCCCCTGCCACCAGAACCAGACCTGCAAACCCTGCGTAACGGACAACCGTGGTCATTATCTTTCTGGCACACAGTCCTTCTTCTGGATAACAGCCCCCTCCACGCCCCCATCCCCAGTTTTCCACTGCGGGACCTCTCCTCCTCCTCTCTCTGTCCAAGGGTTTGGGTGGGGCCAACCCCACCTTCTGGACCATGTGACTCAGGCCAGACCAATTAGAGCAGTCCAGCCACCAGGGTCTAAATCACTGGTAGAGGGATGCTCACATGACTTAAGCTAATCCAATGAAAGTCATAACCAGGATTTTGGCTGGAAATATTAGAAAGAAGCCCCATCTCTGCTGGTATTGCTACATTTGTAAGATGTTAAGCCTAGAGCTGGGCATGGTGACCATTTTTGCTACCACTTGGGGAGAAGCTGCTTGTGAATGAAGCCAACACACAGGGAACAGAGACAGGAAAGAGGGAGAGAATGACTGAGGTCCTGATGAATCACCTGATCACCTGGATCCAGCTGTGCCTGAAGCAGACTAGCTCACCCAGCAGCCATTCCACCCACTGATCGTTTGAGAGTTTTTGGCTCATTCCTCGCCCCAAAGGTAGGCCTGGTCAAACTGAACCAATGAGCTCATGACATTCCCCCAGCCGTGATGATGATTCAGGAGAGAGAAAATGACCTAAGCTGGGCTCATCAGAGAGAGGCTTGGGACTTTAGTCAACGTTGGGAAAAGAGAAGCCCTTTCTCCTCCTGTATGTGATGGAAGAAGTGCCAGCCTCAGGAGGAGCTTTCTCACCATAGGAGGGAAGCCTGCCCAGGGACAGGGTTAACATGTGAAGGGGGCAATGCTCAGCTGACGACAGAGGAAGAGAACTCCGCCCTGTTGACATCAGTGACCCTGGATCAAGCGTATCCTGAAGGCCATGCCAGAGCTGCACTTTCCATTTACAGGAACAATGTATTTTCCTTATTGCTTGGACTGATGTGGGTGGATTTTTCTGCTATAACCCAAGGCACCTTAGTGATCGGCCTGGACTTCCCAGTTACCTGAACCAACACACAGCCCTTGTTTACTTAAGCTTGGGATTCTATTGCTCACAAGCAAAAGAATCCTGACTCATTCTGCCTTTCTTTTGCACACCACGCTCTGAGGTGCTGACTCCTGTTCCCTGTATCCAGGGCCCTTCCCTGGCATCCTCCTAACCCATCGGACCACCCAGAGCCCTCCATGGCTCGCCTGCCTTCAGGTCGCGCCAGCTTCCGTCTTCACCTGCCCTGCAGCCTCTAAGGCAGGGGTCGGCAAACCTTCTCCACACAGGGCCAGATGGTAAATATTTTAGGCTTTCTAGGCCATTCTGACTCTGTGGCAACCGCTCAGCTCTGCTGTTACAGCGTGACAGCAGCCGTAGACAATATGGAAACGATGAGCATGGCTGCGTCCCAACGAAACTTTATTTATGGACACTGGAATTTGAATTTCACACAATTTTCACATCACAAAATATTATTCTTCTTTTGATTTATTTTCAAGCATTTAAAAATGTAGAAACCATCCTTAGCCTGAGAACTGCATAAAAACAGGCGGCAGGCGAAATTTGGCCCATCGGCCGCAGTCTGCCAACCCCGGCGCTTGGGTCTCAAAGCCCCTTTGGACTCCGGGCTACCCCTGCCTTCCCCTGTCCCCCATCTGGGCTGAGCTGCTGAAGTCCCAGCATGCCTCTGGGCTCTGGGGTCCAAAAGTCAAAGGCCACTTACCAGAAGGACCACCCGTAGTCCCAGGAGTGAGGTCTCCAGTCTTCAGGGCCGAGGCTCACGGTGACCTGGAACACCTGCGTGTACATCATGTGGGCTACCATCCCCAGGAGGCCTGTGGGGGAGCAGAACAAGGCGTCAGGAAGCTAGGTGGGGCTCTGTCCACCCCCGTCCCAGGCCTCCCAACCATCCGCCCGCTGTTTGTGCATGGACCCCCGGGGAAGGGAGGTCAGTGGGATCAGAGCACGGGAGGCCAGAGGGTGGTGGCTTTCAACACCAGCCAAGGAGTTTGAGTTGGAGCCAGAGGGCAAAGGGCAGCCAAGGAGCCATAGACAATATGTGAATAGATGAGCATGGCCGAGTGCCAATAAAACTTTATTTACAGAAGCAGACGTTGGGTCGGATTTAGCCCTGCTGATATGTGTTAGAAGGTCATTTGGGAGAGGCAGCCTACAGAATGTTTTTTAAATTGCAGATAAGGAAATCAACTTCATTGCATTAAAAAAAACAACAAGAATAGAATAGAAATATCTGATACCATGAAATGTTTCAAGAGTAAATATTGTTCAGGGAAACTTTTCAGTTCTATACAGGTGTATGTGCGTGTAGTGATTGTAATATGAAATGTTTTTCTCTCGTTCATGGTCAAAAATCTTGGTGCCCATTGGCTGGGAGAACTTTGATTCCGAGGGATCTGAGTCGGAACCCTCTTCCACCACATTTTCACCTTGTGGCCCTGGGCAAGGCACTTCACTCTCTGAGCCTCACATCTTTCAAGCCTAGATGAGGATTATGACAGGTAAGGTGGAGAGTGAACGAAATGAGGCAAGGACGACTCACTGTCTGGTGCCCCGTGGACATGCAATCATTACAGCCACCAGGATTATTACAAACTGGGGGCACTTCTCTGTGTGGACTGTGGAGCCCTTGTGGGGCTAACTGGCACGGACCTAACTTTAAGATGGAGTGATGCAGGGCCGGCTCTGTGGCTTGGCGGTTAAGTGCGCGCGCTCTGATGCTGGCGGCCCGGGTTCGGATCCCGGGCGCGCCCCAAGGCACCACTTCTCCGTCCAGCGCGGGGCCGAGTCCCACGTACAGCAACTAGAAGGATGTGAACCTATGACATACAACTATCTGCTGGGGCTTTGGGGGGAAAAAAATGAATAAATAAAATCTTTAAAAAAAAAAAAAAAAAAAAGATGGAGTGATGCAGTATTGATGAGGAGGGAAGGGGTGGATGACAAGAAGAAAGGAAATCAATAATGCTTGTGCACCTACTGTGTGCCAAGCACTCTGTCAGACTCCTTCCCCTCCATTATTATCTCTTTCAATTGTCATAACAACCCTCTGAAGTAAGTACGATGCTCAGGGCCGTGTACTGTCGTTCAGGTTGCCCACTGCGCATCTCCATAGGCTCCATTCACATTATAGTCTGTGTGCATGCCACTCCCTGGAGCTGAGCAGAACCACACCTGCAAGGCTGAATATGGGAGGCTGACTATGATTATTCTCATTCCACAGGTGAGAAAATAGAAGTGTGGAGTGGGCAATTCCGTCCAAGGCCACACAGGGAGTAGACGGCTTAGTTGTGACTGGGAGGCAGATCCATATGTCCCTAAATCCAGGGCTGTTCCCATGCTGCCTAGAGTGCGCCTGTCCTCCCCTTGTTGCCCCAGTCACCCTTTCCCTTATTCTTGAAGAGGAGACAAGGGAAAAGACGGAGGTCAGGAGAGGAGGGGTGGAGATAAGAAAAGACCGCAGTAAAGGCGTGAGGCTCTGTGACCTGGAGCTCAGCCTTGTGGGGTGGGGGTGGGAAGGGGGACATCCTGTGTTCCCACTATGTGAAGGAGAATGTTCAACAACTGGTTCTCTGAGAAAAAAAGCCCTGATTTGTAGCGTCTGCCAATTTCCGTGGTGTAAAAATTCCCACCGTGGCCAGTTTAAAGCTGCCCACGCGGTGTCACTGAGCGCAGAGGAGAGGTGTGCACAAGGGCGCCTGTGAGCTGAGCCGGTGGGCTCCAGTGCCGCTCTTTGCCTCCTTCCAGTCACCTGACCCGCGGCACCGCAGAGACAGAGGGCTCAGAGGTGGCTGTCTGTGTGTCTAGGCCGGGGTCCGCCTCTTGTGGACACCGCTCACTGCTCTCTGACCCCAGATGGGGCTACTCTCCAGGGCTGGTGGGAGCACTTGAGTCAGGAAATCAGGGAGAGGGTGACCATGACAGGCGCTCTCAGCCTGCTCCAGGTTTCCCCCAGGCCTGAGTACAGCCTAGACCCCCCCAACTCAGTGGCGCCCTGGCAGGTGGTGCCAAATGCCTCTGGTCCTCTCTGCCTTGGCTCAGTCTGCCAGGAGGAGGAGAGGAGGGGTGAGCCACATGGACATCTTATTTCTCTTTACTTGACACAATTCTTGGTGAACTTGCCAAGAGGACATAGCAGGTAGCCCTTATTCTTTGGAACTGATGCATAGGTTTCCTTGATAATGATTTATCCAATCAACTGATGGTATTTAAGTTATTTCCAGATTTTTGCCCTATAAGAAATGCTGCAATAAACACCATTCTACGAGTCTCTTTGTGCACACAAGCAAGTATTTCTCCAGGATGAAGCACAAGAATCGCTGGGTCATAAAGTGTGTGCATTTTAAATTTGAGTCAATGTCGGTGAATGGTTCTCCTGAGCAGCAGTACCGTTTTGTACTTCTGCCAGCTGTCTGAGAGTTACCCACCCAAATCCTCACCAATACTGGACATTATAAAACATTATAAATTTTGCCCATTGCATGGTGAAAAATGACACCTCAACATTGTTTTAAATTTTATATTTCCCTTATTCCTAGTGAGCTTGGGCATTTTTCATGTATTTATTAACCATTTCTAATTCTCCTCTATGAATATGCCTGTCTGTGTCCTTTGTCAATTTTCTTTTTTTTTTTTTCCCATCACTTTCCTTATCAATTGGTAGGAATTCTTTATGTGTTCTGGATACTAGTCTTGCCTGTTTTACAGACTACAAACAGTTTACTATTTTTTTTTCCATGTAGAGAACATCTTTTTTTAATTAGTCTAATTAATAGACTTTATTTTTTAGAGCAGTTTTAGGTTTACAGAAAAATTGAGCAGAAATTACTGAGAGTTCCCATACGCCCCCTCTCTGCCCCCGTGGTTTCTCCTATGATTAACATCCTGCATTAGTGGGATACATTTGTTACAATTGATAAACCAATATTGATACATTATTATTAACTCAATCCATAGTTTACATTAGGGCTTACTCTTCCTGTTGTATATTCTTTGGATTTTGACAAATGTGTAGAGACACGTATCCACCATTACTGTGTCGACGGTTTCATGGCCCTAAAAATGTCCTGTGCTCCATCTATTCATCCCTCCCTCCCCACCCACGAAACCTCTGGCAACCACTGATCTTTTTACTGTCTCCATCGTTTTGCCTTTTCCAGAATGTCATATAGTTGGAATCATATAGTATGTAGCCTTTTTAGATTGGCTTCTCTCACTTAGCAATACGCATTTAAGGTTCCTCCATGTCTTTTCATGCTTGATAGCTCATTTCTTTTTATTGCTGAATAATATTCCATTGTCTGGATGTACCACAGGTCATTCACCTACGGTCCATTCAGCTACTGAAAGACATCTTGGTTGCTTCCAAGTTTTGGCAATTATGACTAAAGCTGCTTTTGTCATACATTTTGATATTTGATATAGTCAAATTTATCAGTCTTTTCCTTTTTGGTTTTTGCTTCCTGTGTCTACTTTAAGAAGATTAACACCATAAACACATTCTCCTATATTTTTCTAGCATACTTACAGATGTTCATGATAATTCATCTGGAATTTATCTTAGTGAATGGTGTGTGGTAAGGACTTAACAATTTTTTTTAATGAGTAGCTAATTGCTTTGAACTCTTATAGAATGGCCCGTCCTTTCCCCTGATTTTAAATTACACTTTTGTACATAGTCCAAGCCCCACATATACATGAGTCCATTTCCTAACGTCATCTGTTTCACTGATCTCTCTCTGTTCCTGTGTCAATGCCACGCTGTTTCAGTCACTGTAACTTACAGTAGAGTCTGTTAGCTGGACAGACTAGTCGCCCCTCCTACAGCCCAGCACTAATTCCCTCTGGAAATGCTGCCCCACCCAGGAGGCTTGCCCCTTCCTTGGCCCCCCTGCCGGTCCTTGCTCTCCAAACTCTCGGCTGTTGCACCTTCTTCAGTTTCTGTGTCAGTCCAGATGCTCTCTGAGCTATCTGATCTCTCGGGGCCTTGGTTTTCTCATCTATAAAATGGGGATACTAGTAGACACAGGCAATTCCAATGAACACCCACTAAAGAAGGAAAACATTCATGAGAACGACCACTCCTTATATTAGGACAGTGGGGACTTAGCATTTTAATACAAAAACTCCCAGCTAGACCCAGAAGCCAGACCCAGCCTGTTGGCAGAATAATTAGTTTTCTGAATTGTTAGTTTAGAAAAGCATTGATTTCTCAATTGAATTCCATTTATTCCCAAATATGAAAGGCCATCCTTTAAGAAAATTCAATAAGTTGAAATTACAATTCACTCAAAGATAGGGTGGTGAGAGTCTCTGATTGCATTTTAAAGATTCTGCTTCAAACATCTGACCCTCGAGGGCCCGTGTTTCCGGAAGCACGTTGTTCTAAAGCGGCCAGCAGCATCTGTCATACAAACCTGCAGCAGAAGGAGTTGTTTCCAACTCCTCTGAATTAAGAAGCGACTTTCGGCTGAGCTGCCCCACCTCCTAGATCAGCAGCGACTAAATGAACGAGGCTTTCCTGCCGCTGCTATGGGAGCCACACCAGGAAACTCACAGCTGTAAATCCCTCCTTGTGTGGTTTCCGGAATCTTCCAACTCCTGCCACCATAAATAGAACTCCCAATCCGTGTGGTGAGGCAGGCCGGGCTCCTCCTGCCCCCAGGGGACCTTGGGGAGCACTGGGGATAGGGGATGTTGGCCAAGGGCTCAGAGCCTCCTGGGTGTGGTGCCACCTGGAACCCAGAACAGGAAGGGCTGGTGACTCCCAGCCCCGCCCTCGGCTGCTCCCCCTGGGAAGCTAAATTCTATTGTCAGG